ATCTTGGCTATTGTGAATAATGCTGCAATAAACACAGGAATATAGATACCTCCTTCATAACCTGCCTTCATTTTCTTCAGAAATAAGCCAGGAAGTGGGACAGTTGGGTCATTTGTAGTTGTATTAAAAAGTCTTAATATTTTTGAGAGTTAACTACTGGTGCTAGGCTCAAATAATACAAGGAGGTGGGTTGCTATTTTAAATACCATTTTGAAGGAAACTAGAACTCAGGAAAGTGAAGTGGGTTGGCCATGGCTGGTGAGGGAGGGAAAGCAGTCTTGGATAGAGCCATGTAATTTCCATACTTCTGCTTTGGTAATAGAAAGGGATTTTCTTTTTACCTAGTTTTGGTCACTCTGGGCACAGGAAAGTCTTAGTCTGGGTTAATTCAATTTAAAGCATTGTCATTATAATGTGGAGCGGTCCCTTGATTATGGTCTACAAAGTGTTGACTGATTTAATACTTCATTTGGGAATTCCTCCAGACATCATTCTTCCCACTGCAAATGCTCTTTTGGCAAAAACATGGCTACGTTCTCTCTCTCCCATCAGCATTCTGTCTGTTGCAGCAAAGTCAAGAGCATTGTAAACCTAGTTTAGTGAGAAGAAAGATTTCCTTAAGAAGACCTGAACTGAGAGCAAGTTCAGAAAGAAAGCTGAACCCTATGACAACTCATCAAATTGCATTAAGTCCAAGAACCTGTTGATCTAACTTTCTTCCTCTCCATTCCCATCCTCATATCTAGCCTACAGAAGTAACAGCTTTGTTTTGCTTAAAAGCCATCACAGCCATCTCTAACCAACATGTAAGCCTGTTTAAAATCCCCAAGATTTCTGCATTTACGATAGGCTTTAAAATAGGTTAAACACTTAAGTTTGACATCATATATTAACAATCTGCCATCTGGCATTATTTTAGTTTATTTTACTGACAATAAGCATACCAACTAGATCAATGTAAACAATTTAGATGGCATCACTCTTTTGAGCACATTATACCAAATATTGTGTCCTTTGTGAACACACGTAAGGGAGAGAATTTTGCACTATTTTTTAAAAATATTGTATTTATTTATTCACGCGAGACACAGAGAGAGAGGCAGAGACATAGGCAGAGAGAGAAGCAGGCTCCCTGCAGGGGACCCGATGTGGGACTCGTTCCTGGGATTCTGGGGTTATGCACTGAGCCAAAGGCAGACGCTCAACTGCTGAGCCACCAGGTGTCCTGAATTTTGCAGTATTGATTCCACTCACGAGCATCATTTAAGCTTGGTTTTAATTTCATTTTAAATTAGTGCAAGTGATTTATATATTTTTTCATCAAATCTTGAAGTTCCATTCTATTCATTTGGCCATTGTCACATACACTACCCAAATGCAAGTAAATGACACAGAGAGAGAATTGTACTGAAGGCAGTGGGTTATGTTGGGAATATGTTGGTGGTGGGAATGACAGGCTATGTTAAGAGGACCATGCCAGAGGGCATAATATAGAGCATGTTGATTAACGAATCCCAATGTGCATATAATGTTTTATCGATTCTTTGTTCCTAATGGAGTCATACCGTTTTTACATCAACTATTTTGCAGAACAAGGTTAAAGACAAGTATGTGGTCCTTAAACGGTGCCAATTATACAAAAAGCCCAAACTTCCATGTTTTTTGAAGTCAGTGTCAGGCAGAGAACCCAGATCCACTTATTTTTTCTAGAATTAAAATGGTACCACCTCACCTGAAATGGAGAGCATGACCCTGTTTATATAAATTGCCCTCAAATTTATTATTTTTTTATTTTTTATTTTTGCTCTCAAATGTAATACAAAACAACATCCTTCTGCTTCTATTATGAAGATCTTGAAAGAATTGTTATATGTAATCAAACAATGATACACAAATCTTCCTTAATATAATTATATGCATATGTATGTGCAATATATGCATTGCAATATAAATAATATATATGCATATATATGATAGTGTGAAATTATGTTCTAGTCATAATATTTGTCTTAATGCTGTTGTGAATTTATGGTCTTTGATAAATTCTAAAATTCCTAGTTATAACAGCTACTTTCATAATATTTATTCTTGTAATGTGTGTAAAATTTAATAGATGCTCTCTGCAGAGATCTAATGATTTAAATTATACCACTGTTGCCGTCAAACAAAGTAAAGCTTTCAGAACAGTATCTTTAGAATGTATGAGCCCCATCTCTTCAGATTTGAAAGATTTGAAATACTTATACAGGATTGTCTGTGCATTTGATAAGTTAGGAAATGAAAGTATTTGCTTTAATATATACCAAACAAAATATGACTATCCTCCTACTTTCAGGCTAAAAATTGTTAGACAGGAGCTTGGAAAGAACAAAATTAGTGAGAAAAAGGGTCACTTTGAGAGTGTGAGGTTGTTAAGAAGCCCACTGGAGAAGGACAGGAGATGAACTGTATTGCTGTTACTTAGGTGACAACGGTTGGAGGTTGACGATGTGAAGATGAGCAGTGAGATCAAGGCAAGATGTAACACAGCTTATTCAGAATGTCAAATTGGTAGCTCTCTAAACAACTGCTAATAAATCAACATGAGAACATTCTTCCCAAGAATATAAAAGTTAGAACAAGGGGCTTTTATGAAAGGAAATGCCAATGGTTCTTCTGGCTAATAAAACCTTCTGTTAAATTTCACTTCATTTAGTTTACCCGAAGTACAGAATGTAGGGATGTGAGGTATACTCCCATTCTGAATTACTTCTGTAAACACAAACTTCTGGCTGTGTTCGAAAAACAACACCACCACTGACTATGAAGTATGATCTCAGTATTCAGTATACACCAAACAGGCTTATTGCCTGCGTAGTGGGCAGAATGGTTTTCAACATTCTTGTATTTGTTTTATATGAGTAACACTTGGTTTCTGAGAATACACACACACACACACACACACACACACACACACACATCTGCGGTTTCTAGACAAAATGCACTTTAAAAATATCATAAAATAATTGTCTTCTCTAAAAATAGGTAGATTGATAAGATAGTTGATGTCTAAAGCCTTTTAAGTTCAATCCAACTTTACCTGTTAGATTTTCCACTTTTGAAAAACTCAAAGCAAAAACATCATCCAGATAAATATTCTTCTAATAGCTCCATGTGGGAGTAAAATATTGTATTTAACGTATGCATAAACTCACTAAGCTATGGAGTCAGTTAGTAAAATGTTTCGACACATGTACCAATAACTGTAGAGATGGCTTCTCACTCAGTAAACCATTTTTTTAAATGTTGATAGTCTCAGAGGAGCCTTGTGATGTTCACAGAATTTTTAGACTATTTTATCTTTGATAAAAATTCTACTTGACTAATTCATGACTAGCTCATGTATGCTTTTCAACAATTGTTATAATTGTTATAATAATAGTTTCCTCCTATTGAGTATTTTAGCTCAGGTCTTGTTTGTTTTATTGCTACAAGCAAGGGAGACTGGTAGAGGTCAATATCCCTTGCAAACCCAGAGAATAGATGCACAATGCCTGAGGAACACTATTATAAGCCAAGTTTGGTCTCTTTAATCAAGTATGTAGTAAAAAGCTGGTAGCTACCTGGAAAACAGCCTGCAAAAGAGTCAAATTAAATTAGGAATACTGGCTCTTCCACGCCGCTTCCATTGGTAGAGTAGCAGTGTGGTGTGGAAGGAACTGTACGGGCTTTGAATTTAGGAAATGCTGAGCTTAAAAGTAGGCAAATCAGTCTTGATGAGCCTTAATGTTTCCAACTGATTAAGTGGGGATATGAATACCTTGCTTGTGGCTGGTTTCCAATGAATTAAATGAGATAGTAGATGCACAGTGCTTGGCGTACCAAAAGTGTCTGAATACTAGCATGAACCTTTTTACCTTTTTAACCTGGATCATTCAAAATAAAGCAGAGGCTTGAGTTTTGGTTGTATATCCCTGCCCATCTTTGTAATCCTGGCTGCTATGTGTCTTCATAAAATACTAACCACCCCCAAAACTTACATCATACACTTTGGATTTATTTGATGTAAGATTCCTTTATGTAGTAAGGCATGAAAGTGACAAGTGCTTTGATGGCCTTTTCCCATTTAATTCCTCAGACAGAGAAACCAAAAAGATTCACAGCCGTATTATGTTAATGATCACAGTTTCAAAATGCCCTAGAACCACAATAAATAACCTATGACATCCATAACCATTTTGTGATTCTTTGTTCATAACCAAAGGACTTCTCTGACATTTATATACTCTGTTAAACCACCCATATCTGTGTAAAAATTTTAAAAAAGGCATTAGCAGGTATGTTTTATACTAATCAGAGCAAGGCTATTCAAGCTTATGACCCAAAGCATGTTGAATGACTCATTTCTTTGCACAGGCTGTCCTTCAATTATGGAGAAACCTGCCTATTACTGCACATTAATTAAGTATAAAATTATGAACTCTCTCTATATATCTGTGTCCTGACACTGCAAATGGCATTAGCTGAAATATTATTTTTATATGCTTTAACAACTTAATACATTTAAGGGTGGCATAAATGTCTCTTGTCTATCTTTTTTTCTGATAGACGCTGCCATTTAATTGCATTCGGTGGTTTATGAACTATAATCATGTGACTCTTGAACCTTCGGAGGCTGGCAGTGTAAGCATCCATGAAGAGAAAATGCAACCTTATGCTTTCAGGAGGATGGAGAGTATACAGCCTCCGTCAAAGCCCTCTGTTAAGGAGAGAGGGCCAGAGCAAGGGCAAGAAATGCATTCCAATAAGATGGTTTTAGGCTCCTGGTTCTCAAAGTCACCTGATCTTTTGAATTTGTTACTAAAATACAAGGAAGCCAAAAAGGCCTACACTATAATCTGTTATCAGACAATAAGTGGTGTTAGCATTTGAGCACCAGGCCGATCAGAAATAGGCATTGCCAGACAGAATAGGGCATTACTACAGGAAAGCGGAAGTTACACAAAAATATTTCTACTGACCTTCTCGCATCTGCTTCAGTTTGAATTTGTTCCAGTTGTACCCCTGTGAGATAACAGAAAAGGAAATAATTTAGTTTATAGATGGTTATAGGGCTCCCCCCCAAGAAACTTAGGTTGAATGAAAATAATGTCAATGTTGTGATATTATAAAAATGACGACTAATTTTAAATATATTTTGATTGTTGGAAAGTATTATGGATCATTAATACAGGGAGGCGTTTGTATATTAGGCAACATAAATTTGACTAGAGTCCTATCCTGCTAGAGGCCTTGGAAGAAATATCACCCATCTGGAAATAACAACCTCTCTCTCACAGAAGTGTCTAGAAAAGTGAGAAACATTACAAACTTAAAACAATGGACTACCTGATAACAGCAAGTTAAAATTAAAGGCTAATGCCAGGTGACAAAAGATACAAACGTTAATGTCATAGAAGCATAAAACAAATGCCAGTTTAAGGGGACAAAACATAGCAGTGGCAGGACTCCGCTGGCTCATACCAGAAGAAAAGAAGTGACACCCAGAGATGTTGTCTGAGCCTGGGGTGAAGCTGAGATTTTTCACAGGGCATATGCTTCCTTGTCCTTGAATAAAGAAAGTTGCCATGGCTATAAGTCAATGTAGATGCAATTTATGAAATGAGATCTGTATGTTCAGTTAGCATCGTGCCCATAGAACTTCAAAATGGCAAACTACAGGTGTTTGGGCATGTTCATATACTGACATCTTGAAAATCTGTCTCTAAGTTGCATAGAGAAAGGAAGAAGCCGAGGAAATGCGGGTAAGGCGGTCTACAAGAACCTGCCCCCAAATTAGAAAGCACTGAACTCCAGTGTCGACTAAAGCACCACCTCCAAACATCAGTACAAGCCTCGCTACCTGCTAACAATCAACTAGAGTGCTTGTTAATGAAAATTTCTTATTTAGCCAGTCTAATAAGAGGTAAAATTATCTGCTTCTTTGCAGAATTCCCCAGGACATTGGGATACGTAAAAGAATTGGAACCACTAGCCCAGCCTTTTCAGAAGTGACTGGCCAGAGCCAGCTCCAGCTGCAGGGGGTCTCTGCAGGTCTCTGGCTGGTTTTCTACAGTAATGGCAAGTGACTCTTGCCATCCCCAAACCTGTGTGTGCATTGGGTGCAGAAGGGACTGCAAAGCACAAACTCAAAGGCCACCCAGAATTTGTCCCAGCACCTCCTCATCCATTAATAACAACAGAGAACATCTCCCTGATGTGGTGCCTTCCATTTTCTGGGCCCTGAAGAAGTAGGATAATCAACTCCTGTGTGGTGTGTTTTTTGTAATTCTCTCACATATTTGAAGGCTTTCTGCTCCTACTTACAGCTGCATAAAATTCATCAATTATGAAAAGAAGGGGATAAAAGGACGAGGAGAGATTTATTTTCAAAGATTTATTTCCAGGGTTTAGTTAGAGGATAGTGAGGATTATGAATAAAAGAAGGTCCTAGAACTCTCTGTTCTTGGTAATAGAATAGGATACCATAATGATGGCTTTTCTTTTCAGACGTGAAAGAAGTTTCTTCATGAAGAAACTCATGTGTAAGGCACCCACCCTGCAAGCCGTCTTACGTTGATAACTCTTAAATAGCTGATCTGATTGACGAAGCACGCATGTACCATTTAGGCCCATATTCCCCCAGAGGATTGTTCAAACCCGATTTTAGTCTTCTTTCAAAGGTTTGAGTTTCATTATCTTTAAGAAATGGCTTACATGTAGAAACATACTACGCGACTAAAGTCAATGTGGCCAGGGTAGACATGTTAAGTAGAAGCTACTCAGTGAAGTGTAATCAGTAGTAACATTATTAAAGGAATTGATGTTTGAGAAAGAAAGTGCATCTTGTAGGATCCTCAATGGGACAAAAAGAGGCAAGAAGCTAGAAAGAGTGAGAAACTGTGTGGTGAATGGAAATAGCAGACTCTTTCTGTTATTTCTGCCCTAGTAATGATTCTGTTTTTTTCTAGTCTAGTAATTTATTTTGAAAAAATAAATGAGAGAATGTTCTAGTTAATCATCATCATCATCATCATCATCAAAAATAGCTTTAAACTCAGAGGCTTAAAGACACAAAGATTTATTTCTCTCTCATGCTATGTGCCCATTTGGGTGAGCTGAGACTCATCCGTTTTTCAGTCTTTTTAAATTTTTTATTTTAAGATTTTATTTTAGAGAGAGAGAGAGAGAGTCCATGTATGGATGCCTGAGTGGGAGGAGGGACAGAGGAAGAGGGAAAGGGAGAGACTCTCAAGCAGACTGTGCTGAGCACAGAGCCCCACATCTGCTCGATGTGGGGCTCGATCTCATAACTCTGAGATCAAGTCCTTAGCCAGAACCAAGAGTCAGACACTTAACTGAGCCACCCAGGTACCCCACAATCTTACTTCTTTTACACCCTTAATCTCCTTTTTAAAAATTTTAGAAATTTAAATTCAATTTGCCAACATATAGTATAACACCCAGTGCTCATCACATCATGTGCCCTCCTTAACACCTGTCACCCAGTTAGCCCAAGCCCCATCCCTCCTTCCCTTACACAACCCTTTGTTTCTCAGAGTTTGGAGTCTCTCACGGTTTATCACCTTCTCTAATTTTTCCCCACTCAGTTCCTCTCCTTTCCCTTATGATCCCTTTCACTCTTTCTTATATTCCGCATATGAGTGAAACCATATGATAATTGTCTTTCTCTGACTGACTTATTTCACTCAGGATAATCCCCTCCAGTTCCATCCACGGTGATGTAAATAGTAGGTATCATCCTTTCTGATGGCTGAGTAATATTCCATTGTACATATACCACAACTTCTTGATCCATTCCTCTGTCAGTGGACATCTCAGCTCTTCCCTAGTTTGGCTACAGTGGACATTGCTGCTATGAACATGGGGGTGCAGGTGGCCCTTCAGATCACTTCATCTCTATCTTTGGGGTAAATACTCAGTAGTGCAATTGCTGGGTCATAGGGTAGCTCTATTTTTAACTTCTTGAGGAACCTCCACACAGTTTTCCAGAGTGACTGCACCAGCTTGCAGTCCCACCAACAGTGCAAGAGGGTTCCCCTTTCTCTGAATCCTCCCCAACATTTGTTGTTTCCTGTCTTGTTAATTTTAGCCATTCTCACCAGTATAACGTGATATCTCATTGTAGTTTTGATTTGTATTTCCCTGATGACAAGTGATGTGGAGCATTTTTTCATATGTCTGCTGTCCATGTGTATGTCTTTTTAAAAGAAATGTCTGTTTATGTCTTCAGCTCATTTCTTGACTAGATTGTTTTTAGGGTGTTGAGTTTGATAAGTTCTTTATAGATCTTGGAAACTAGCCCTTTATCTGATACATCATTTGCAAATATCTTCTCCCATTCCATAGGTTGTCTTTTAGTTTTGTCGACTGTTTCCTTTGCTGTGCAGAAAAGCTTTTCATCTTGATGAAGTCCCAAAAGTTCATTTTTGCTTTTGTTTTCCTTGCCTTCATAGATGTGTCTTGCAAGAAGCTGCTGCAGCTGAGGTCAGAAAGGTTGCTGCCTATGTTCTTCTCCTCTAGGATTTTGTTTTGTTTTGTTTTGTTTCCTCTAGGATTTTGATGGATTCCAGTGAGTTTCCCCTTAGTACTGCCCTTACTCAGGACAATAGAACATTCACTGTATAGAATTTTGCTGGTAATTATAGCAGAGAAAAAGAGAGAGCACAGCAAATTGTGAAGTAAGTAAGAGTTCCCAACCTGAAATGATAGAATTCAGCTTATGTTTCATTCATTAAAGCAACTTTAAGTTGGCCAGGAAGTATAATGTGAACCATGTGTCCAAAAGGGAGGAAAATAAAATATTCAATGAACAGAAGTAATCACTCTGAAAGTCTGCCCTCTGGTCGCTAAATATTTGAGGTCCTCTCCCTCTAAAACATACACTGACTCACTTCCCAAGCAAAGTCTCATCAAATCACAGCTCAACTTCAATGTCCATGATCTCCCAGTGATGCTAAGTATCCTAACATATCTCCTCCTTGTCTGGAGATCTATACAGACAAGTCATCATCCAGTAGCCCAACTACCAACCCTAATATGCAGGGGTAATACAGGATAGATCACTATCATCACCAGGAAAGGTGATAAACAAGAAACACAGGGAAGTCACTCTGTAGAAATCCTGAAATTTGATGAATTTGATGCTGATGAAGGATACTTAGAAGAAAGGCAGGCAGGGACAAGGGGCTCCCCACCCTAAGAGGAAACACCCTTAAAAGGATTTTATACCACTTTGGAAGGAGCCCTCCATCTCTTCCCATGTGATAGATAGTCGGCAAAAACCTGATTAGATGACAGGAATAAGGAGGGTTAATCCGATTAAAAGAGTTTGGCAACAAGCCCATATAAACCCCTAGACTTAGGAATTCCAGTGGCAACCCTCTCGGTTCCCCTCCCTCTCTGGGAGCTGGGAGCTAGCTTTGTCCTACCTGTACTTTACTGTACTATCAATAATTTTTTTTTTTGCTGCCCACCACTCTTCATCTGCTCTACTTCTTCGTTCTTTGAAGTGGCCTGACCAAGAATCATGGGCATGAAAGGAAAAGAAATCCTGTTACATTGCTAGACAAATGTCATGGGGACCCTTTGGTTGGAGGAATGCAGAATGTCGTGTAGACTGTAATTCTGGTTCTTAGAATGGTCCCCCGCCCCATCTAACTTTTCTCCACTGGCTCTCAGCTACTCTTCTGGTTGTTTGTTTTTAAATTATCCTTCCTGGAACATCTGAATTGGAAGGTAGACTGTGATGCTGTGTCCTCCCTGGAGGCGGAGCAACATTCTCCAGTGGGCTCCCCAGCCTTCCAGAAAGTTAGGGACCAAAGGTCAATTTTATTCTTGAACAGGCATATATTATTTTGTCCACGCTCATGATTTCCCCCACAATACACCCATGAAATCTTAGCAGTTTTTAAAATGTTTGCCTCAGTCAGTTACATGTGCCAACAGCCACATCCAGAATTCTTTCTAGACATATTTCTTAAATTTACAATATTTGTTTCCTG